TATTACGGCTAGATCCTATTATATAACTCTATTTAGATATATATTCCTTATATAAGGAATATTATATATCTATTTATACCTGCCCTTTTCATAGTATAGAATCTCGCCGTGCGGACCCGATTATCGCCGATCTATCTTATATCCTTATTAATTATTAATAAAGATAAGAATAATAGTAATAATCGGGGTAAAGATACGCTATCTAATATATATTTATAGTATACGGATGTGTTTTCGGTAGAAGATATATTACTTCTCCCTAATCACGGGCTATATAAGCTAAAGATTAAGCTTAAAGAGGGAGTAGACGTCCTTTATAGCCTACTTTACCTACTTTTAAGACTAGAACTTAAAGTTCTTCGTAAATATATTAAAGAATACCTTAAAAGAGGCTAGATACGTTATAGTATATTATTAGCCGGTATATCTATTCTCTATGTAAAGAAGAAAGACAGAAGTTTACATCTATACGTTAACTATTAGATACTAAATATAGTAACTAAGAAGAATCGTTATCTATTACCGCTAGTTAGTAAATCTTTAGACTAATTAATAAAGGTAAAGTACTTTATGAAGCTAGATTTATAAGATATATATTACTGGCTTTGAATTTGTTGTGGAGATAAGTAGAAAACCGCATTTCGGACTAGATATAGTTATTTTAAGTATACTATTATACTATTTAGGCTAATAAATACGCTAGAAGCGTTTTAAGGATATATTAATACTATACTCATAGGATTACTTAACGTGATTTACGTAGTTTATCTTAATAATATACTAATTTACTCCGATAGTATATAGAATTATAAAGAATACGTGAAATTAGTACTAAATCGTCTAAGGTAGTATAAACTCTATATAAAATTATCTAAATACGAGTTTTACTAATAAGAAGTTAGGTTTCTTAGCTTTATTATAATATATAGCGGCCTAAAAATAGAGCTGGAGCGTGTAAAGACTATTATAGAATGGCTAGAATCTACTACTATACGTTAAATTAGAATGTTTATAGGTTTTGTAAACTATTATTATAAATTTATTATAGGCTTCTTACGAATTACGGCGTTGCTTAATAAACTTATAGAGAATAGTGGTAAAATCTCTATAGATAGGCGAGTATAGTGTAAAGCTAAGTTGGTTAAGATATAGTTAATGCCGGAAGCGCGAGATACGTTCCGATTATTAAAGAATTACTTTATAACTACGCCGATTCTTAGGTATTTTAATTCTAAGAAGTATATTTAGGTCGAAACTAACGCGTTAGAATTTATAATTACTAGAATTATTAGTTAACTATATAAAGATACGAAAGATAAGGTATAATAGTACCCGGTTATCTTCTTTTTCTATAAAATAGTAGATATAGAGACGCGTTATAATACGCACAACTAGGAACTACTTATAATTATTAAGAGTTTTAAGTAATAGTAATATTATTTAGAAGGCTCCGTATATTAGATTAAATTATTATTAGATTACGTAAATCTACGTTACTTTATATCGACTAAGGTTCTTAATTGCCGATAAGTATATTAGACTAAGTAGATATTAATATTTAACTTGAAAATCTTATATAAAGCTAGAAGAGAGAATAAAGCTAATCCTCTATCACGGTATAAAGATTATAAGAAATCGTTATAGAATAACGTAGATAGTTAGTATAATTTAGACTATACTATACTTTAGATACTATAAGACTAGTTATCTAATAGA